ACAGCGTTGTTAGGTTATTCTTTTCGGTTTCCAACTGCCAGGAGATTTTTTACGTGCGCGACAATACAAACAGGCGTCCGGTCTTACTACCCAGAGACCAGGGGAAATTACTAGAAGTCTACGTGAACAAATCACAGCCTTTAACGGGCTTGAACCTGGGACCTCCAACACTGAAGGCGGACACCATGCCTCGAGACCATGCAGCTTCAATGAACACTAATATATATTAATAAAAATGGTGATTTTCCGATGTTGCTAAAAACTCGGAAACTACTGAACCGGTTGCTTTCAAATTTGCACACAACGTTGCCTTTGACTCCAAGCGTAATTTTTAGTCAGAAAATTACACAAAACACGAAAGGTTTAGCTCCAGCAACGGTCAAATCATTATTTTTTTCGTTGCCGGCCCAGATTTGTTTTTAGGTAATTGGCCATATTTGACTGCTGAGCTTTTATTGAACTTTGCTTTTTTATATAATTTAATTTCCACTATCTGTTTGAGTGTTTGGTAGCGTAGTTGGTTGCTGTTCTGACTATCATGCTGGTGACACGCGTTCGATTCCCAGCTAGGTAATATACATTTTTTTAGCCCTTAACTGGGCGGCTGGCACGTTGTGTTGTGGTTTATGGCTAAGCTGCGATATCTACGCCTTTTTCGGTTTTGGGGTTTACAGCTAGCCTGTGACAGCGGCGACGTGATGCTCAATTGTCACGTCACGGGTAATCTTCGTTCACCCTCGAAAGGGCCGTTGGCACGTTGTGTTGTGGTTTACAGCTAGGCTGCGATATCTGACCTAAATCTTCAGTCGTCGGTAGTATAGTTGTAAGTATGTCATCCTTCACGCGTGTAACCGGTGTTCGATTCCCCGCTGGGTGATAATTGTTCTTTTTTCCTTTAAAAGGTGGTTTCCACGTTGTGTTGTGGTTTACAGCTAGGCTGCGATATCTGCGCCTTTCGCAGACATGCGATTTCAGTTAAGTCCTAATAAGCCTTTCCGCGACGCTTCTCGATCAAAAACTATTCGGCGATGACAGAAACTGTTAACTAAGATGGCTTACAGTCCAGTTTAGTTTGGGTGGACACGGATGCCAAGGTAAGTTAAAAATCGTTCCATCAGAGAGGGAGAGATGACGGGTGCGGGGTATTTTTCTCCGCTATTCGTGAGTATAGTGTACTTTTCACTGTTGGTTCCATCACTGGTTACGTGATGAAGTTTTTTTCTCTTCTATGTCGGGGGCAAAATTAAACTAAATAGTCCGTGGCGACAGCATGCGGCGCTAACTCCTCTTTTCTACACCGACATACGCAGACTCTAGTGACAGTTTTTGTTGTTGTTGTTGTAATGGTGGTGGTGGTAGTGGTTGCAGTAGTACAGGTATTGGATGGGTGATATGGTAGCTGTTACACTGGAAACATTTACTTCTCTGTACAAGTTAATGCTACCTATTTAAGTTTGGGTGGAAAGGGATGCCAAGCTAAATTTAGTTACAGTATTTCGTTACACGGTGACTTTCCCATCCTTCGGAGAAGATGATATGATTGGGGGAGGAGGGGGGGGGGCGGGGCGGGGGGTTATGCCAAACACTGTTAGCTGAGAGAGCCTAGAATATTATTTTAAAGTTCTCATTTCTTAACTATTTTTATTTTAATAGTTTCGCTATGGATGATTTTTCAATCCTTCGGAGAGGGAGATATGACTTCGCCAGGTGATGATTTTTCTTTGGGAGAGGGAGATATGACTGGGGGAGCGGGAAGGGGGGGGGAGGGGTTATGTCAGACACCGATAGCTGAGAGAGCCTAGATTAATATTTTAATGTTATCATTTATTAACTATTTCTTTTTTTAATAGTTTCGCCAGGTGATGATTTTTCAATCCTACGGAGAGGGAGATATGATTGATGGAAAAGGGGGGGGGGGGGGCTGGGGGGTTATGCCAAACACAGTTAGCTGAGAGAGTGCTTAAAATATTATTTGAAAGTTCTTATTTCTAAACTATTTCTATTTTATTAATTTCGCCACGGATGAGTTTTCAATCCTTCGGAGAGGAAGATATGACTGCGTCGAGGGGAGACGAGGGGAGGGGGTTATGACAGACACTGTTAGCTGAGAGCTATTTCCTTTCCTCTCCATTTCGCCATTATGGGTCACAGCAACGCGTGGCCGGGTACAGCTATTTATGAATGTGAAAGTGGGACAAAATGATCTTCCTTTCAGTAATTATGCTTTTCTGCCTTGTTAGTTTACCGTCCAGAATATGATTTTTAAATCTCAGGATGGTAAAGTGAACCTTTACATAGCAGTCTTTAGATCAGACAGATCGATCGATGGATCGATCGGTTCAGATCAGCTTTGACTAACAACAACTGTCACTGTCAGTAAGCCACTTTGATTTAGGACAGTTCTTAGGGACTTAAACTGGAAGGCATTCAATTGCAACTATTGGATGTGTTCTTCAAGCAGGCATGCGTACTGGTACTAATTCTTCCGTGTAACATATACTGAATGTTACAGGGATTCATGTTTGTTTACTGTCTGGAACATGCAAGTGTGCGAGGGAATGAGAGAGCGGGTTGTTTGTGTATGAAAGCGATAGATTCATAAACACATATATTGGACAGGAAAGACTAAAGATCAACTATGAATGTATGCTGATTTGAGATATGCGTTAGCTGGGAGTCGGCGTCAGTGGCTTTGACGTTGCGAACGCGCTTCGTAATGCCGGGGTGTTGGGTTCGAACCCAGCTGCTGGTTTTGCGCCTTGCATTGGTTTTGACAGTGGTATCGAGAAGCCGACTCTCCAGAAAGCAAAGGCAAATTACTGGACGTAAATTTGCTTAGAAAAACCAGAAGAGCCCAAAAATGCTTGGGTTGGTTCTGCAAAGTCCTGTAAAAGATACGCAACTAACTTTTGAGTAAACTGGGAATTGGGCGCAGACCCAGCGAGAAAGGACGTGTGGTAGGTAGAGTACGACATGCATGCAACCAGTAAGTTACTGGAACAGTTACTTCAAGAATCTAGAGCTTGAGACGGAACATCTATGGGTATGTCCACATACTATGATATTGATTCTGAAACTAGTAATGAGTGTAACACAGTTATTTCACCATTGTGTTGGAGCATTCTTTCTGCATTTGATCTGATGCAATGCGCTCCTTTTTACCTTTTATCTTCATGAAATTATCTAAAATTAGTTATAAACACTGTTTCCTTGTGACCATGATTTGATCAATTTTGTCGTTGTTGTCCATCATGAATAATGGCAGGGAAAATGTTGTGAAGGACAGCTAACGGTTGTGCCCAGAGAGTTCGAGGCTTCCACGACAGCTGCAGATACAACATCATTGGGAGGAGACAATGAGAGTTACCTCCCGGAGGAGTATTCTTCAGAAGTTTCAAACAGTGTAATGGAAATGTAAGTGTCTTTTACTTCTTCTTCTTCTTCTTCTTCTTTTTCTTCTTCTTCTTCTTCTTCTTCTTCTTCTTCTTCTTCTTCTTCTTCTTCTTCTTCTTCTTCTTCTTCTTCTTCTTCTTCTTCTTCTTCTTCTTCTTCTTCTTCTTCTTCTTCTTCTTCTTCTTCTTCTTCTTCTTCTTCTTCTTCTTCTTCTTCTTCTTCTTCTTCTTCTTCTTCTTCTTCTTCTTCTTCTTCTTCTTCTTCTTCAAAGTCCATGCCGTGTGGCGTTGGTAGTCATGACTATCCACAACCTTCTGTCTCATATACTTTCAGTCAACTCTGATACAGATAATCCTCCATGCCACGATGTCCAACTGTCTAGCCATTTGTTCTCTGTGTGTCTCCCTCTGCCTCTCTTCTCATACATTTTACCTTCTGTCACGATACACTCATGTTTTTCTATTTTTTTTTTATTAATTTATGACCAAAGAATGTAGATTGTCTCTTTCTGATGTGAGCAATCAATTCTCTTCGTGAGTCAGTTTCTTTCAAGACACCTTTATTATTCATTTTATCTGTCAAGGGTATTCTCATCATTCGTCTATAAAACCACATCTCCACAGTTTCCAAGAAATCTTTCACTAATCTACCGTCTGCGATTCACTTCCGTATATCAAGATAAGATTTATATAGCATTTAAGCATTCTTTTCCTCGTCTCAATTAACAAAGTAAGATCACAAAATATTCTTCATTTTGTAAAATGCTGCCTTTGCTTGAACTGTTCTACATTTTATACATCTTCTATCTGAAGTTATCAGGGTACCCAAGTCCTTAAACGTTTCAACTTGTTTGAGGTTTGTTCCATTTGTTTGGTGTTCTATCTCGGAGGATCAGTTTTCTTTGCAATTACCATTACATCTTTTTTTTTTCCTTTTCTGATGTTTAAACGAAGGCTTTGTTTTGACTTTCTATTACAATTATATACTTCATTTCTTGCAGTTGCGATTCATTTTCAACTATATCAAAAGTATATTGTAAGCATATCAGGTTGGTAACAATATGCCCAGCGACCGATATTCCTTGTATACCATAAATGAATCTAATTATTATTTCACTGTACAAATTAAATAAATCGGATTATTATATACACCCTTGTCTAACACCTTGTTTAGTGTTCTGAAAAGTTTTGCAACTTGGTTGTCAATCCTTAGGGCTGTTGCTGGTTGCCAGTATGCGTTTTTATTTTCTTTTTCTCAGATATTTACCATCAATGTTTAAGGTTTCCTATATTCTAATAATTTCTTCATATTTCACTTTGTCGAAAGCTTTAGTGTAATCAATAAAGCACAAATACAGATCCCTCTGTATTTCAATCATTCTTTCTGAAAGTATTCTCAAGATAAATAATGTGTTGTTTGTGGCTTTTACATTGAAAAAAAAAAAAAAAACATACAGCTCTTCTCCGGTTTCTGGTTCAATTTTTCACCCAATTCTCCTTATGAAAACACTGGTGAACAAATTTGCCAAAGATTGTTTTTTATCAAAATTTAAATAAATTATCTCTGGTTGATTTTGACATGTTGATTTTAAATATCATAATGAAATTTACCAACCGGGTCTAGTGTGTGTGTGTGTGTGTGTGTGTGTGTGGGGGGGGGGGGGGGGGGAGGGATTTACATCACAGTAATACAAATAATGAATGCTTTTTTTTAAATCCTTGGAATTAACAGTTAGACTGTCTATTTTAGCTTGCTGAAAATTGTGAGTAGATATTTTAACATAAAATAATATAAACCCTTAATTAAAGTTCACATATAATGTTTTGGAAAAGAAACTTTTGAAAATTTTTCGTCATTATTCTGGCGCTGTTTGAGCTCTCTTTGCTTGTCTCTTGTAGTCAATTGATGAGGTGTCACTTGCCTCAGTTCTGTAGTAATCAGCAAGAATTAAAGGGCTCTAATTGCATTGACACCTTGTCTCCATAGCAGCAATGTTCTCACATGGCGCGTCTGTCGTATGTCTTTATTAAGGTTTTTCCTAGCAAATAAAGACACTCCGCAGTGACCTAATGTTAGATGGTAGGTGATGTTAGTTACTGACATGAGGTGCAGTGACCTAATGTTAGATGGTAGGTGATGTTAGTTACTGACATGAGGTGCTGTGACCTAATGTTAGATGGTAGGTGATGTTAGTTACTGACATGAGGTGCTGTGACCTAATGTTAGATGGTAGGTGATGTTAGTTACTGACAAGAGGTGCAGTGACCTAATGTTAGATGGTAGGTGATGTTAGTTACTGACATGAGGTGCAGTGACCTAATGTTAGATGGTAGGTGATGTTAGTTACTGACAAGAGGTGCAGTGACCTAATGTTAGATGGTAGGTGATGTTAGTTACTGGCATGAAGTGCAGTGACCTAATGTTAGATGGTAGGTGATGTTAGTTACTGACATGAGGTGCAGTGACCTAATGTTAGATGGTAGGTGATGTTAGTTACTGACAAGAGGTGCAGTGACCTAATGTTAGATGGTAGGTGATGTTAGTTACTGACAAGAGGTGCAGTGACCTAATGTTAGATGGTAGGTGATGTTAGTTACTGACATGAGGTGCAGTGACCTAATGTTAGATCGTAGGTGATGTTAGTTACTGACATGAGGTGCAGTGGTATGCCAATGGTAGGACATACTTTGAGATTTTGGCTAGACCTCCAGGTCATCACACATCTCATGCACATTTGAAGTTTCTGGGTGAAATGGAGACTCAAAGAAGGTACTGAGAGACTTTTAGGACAATGACAAAACCCGTCTGTATGCTCTTGAGATTGCTATACGAATCGAAATTTAAATTTGAACTTTGCCCAAGTCAGAAGCGGGAGGAATTCCTTCCGCAAACAGGCGGTAGTTCGGCCCACACAAAAAGGCCTTGCTACTCGTAGAAATCGATTACCTGTGAGTGAATTCATAACATAACTCACTCCCTGTAGATTTAGGAACGAAGTAAGTACGTATCTCAATATCTCGACACATAAGTACAAAGAAGGACTATATACTCATGGAAGAAAGTCCAAGATTTTAAAATAGCTCATTTACATAGAGGTGTACAAGATGTGGGTAGGTACAAGACCAGAGGGGTGTTCAGCTGTCATGTGACAAATGCCCTGATGAAACTGTACACCTTGTTCATCACTGACAGCTCCACAGTCTGAGGTGAAGAAATCCAGATGCCAATGAAGAACATGAATTTTCATACTTCAGAAACAGATTTTCTACAATCTCACTAGCCATTATCAGATCTGTTGTTTCCAAGAATAGTGTCCACCACTAACTCAAATGCTAGCCATACTGCTTTTTTTCTCTTTGCCATGCAACACGCAAAGAAACTCATAGTGAAGAAGTTTTTGAATTTACAAACCAACAAATACTCGCTCATTAATTTTAGTGTCTCTTAGTCTTGAAAATTTTCTAATGAGACATTTAAAAGCATCAGCTGTTTTCTCCCTGTCCTTGACAAAGTTTTTAATGAGACCCAGTCTAATTTTCAAGGGTGGTAACAAAATCTTGCTGATGTTGACAAGTGCCATATATTCAGTTCAAAATCATTCAGTTTACTTTGAATTACTAAGTGTGGTTTAGTGGAGGTAGTTTGCTCAAAATCCGGGTCGCTTGAGTTTGGTGACTGAAGGCCATCAATGTCTATTTCTTCATCACGGAAATCAGCTGAAAAATGTTTTGGGCACTTTGGGTAGTGCTAAGTTATCGTCATGTGGTACGGGACGTATTTGCAGAGGGGATGTTAGCATACTCCAGAGTCCATTTCTCATTCTTTGATATGCTTCTCACAGCTGCAGGGACCATGCTGGCAAGCAAGAAAGTTATCGATACTCTACTATTGTTTTCGTTTATGCAGGAGATCTGACGTGACCTTGTCGTGCTGTGAGATTCATCCCCGGCGCGGCCTGCAGCATTTAAGGTATGAGAATGAAGTATAAGAGGAATGCAGTGTGAGTGTGTGTGTGTGTGTGTGTATTAATGTGCGTGTGTGTATGTGTGTGTATGTGTGTGTGTATGTGTGTGTATGTGTGTGTGTGTCATTCTCCCCCCCCCACCCCACCCTTTAAATACTTAATCTCTCTTGCTGCAGTTCCTCTGATCGGTGAGCTACTTTGTGATTAAGCAGAGTAGATGACGGTTTTCTGGGATCAAATGGATAGTGCAGTAGAATGGACAGAGAATCTATGCATTAAAAGACTATTTCAATAGGGTGGTGGGAAAAAACAAGGGGAGCGGGGTGTGAATATAAGTTCTGGAAGATATTTAACAATGAGGGGGAAACACTGGCGTACATTTAATCAGGTTGCAACTGGTACTCTATATACGTTGAGTCTTCGTTGGCTACTAAAGAAGTGGACTGGGCACGTATGGGAATTTTCCTGGTGTCAGGATATGTTGTGTTCATTCATTCACCAATTCATTCATTTATTCTTTCTCTTTCTCCCTATCTCTCTCGGTGTATGTATGTATATGTGCATGTTTAGTATTCCCACATGTGTCACCAAGTAGTTTTCGGGATAGAGAACAAAAATACCGTTGACAATGTTTCATCTCATTACACATTCTGTCTGCATTCCAGTTGCTTAGAGTGTGTCACGTTTGAAGTGTGCATCTAAGCCGACAGTCAGCCACTGATAGGATCGATTTGTGACAAGTTATGAGGCTGTCTGAGCAGGGATTCCTTTGTAAGCTAAAACTAAATAATACATTTCATTTAAACTAGAGTGTGACTGTCTATTCGGTCGATCGATGTAGACTGTTTCACTTTGAAATTAATATCCCTCACTGTTGTGACTGCAGTTTATATTTCAAAAGTCCCGTCTTTAGTGTTTTGGAAAAAAAAAAAGAATACTAAACAATAGATCTCAGTGGTACTTAAGCCAACACAGGTAATAGTGAAAAGCAGTGGTTCTTAAAGTATTCCTTCAGATCAGTAAGGCCTGAGGAGAATGGCGCTGCGGGGAGTTACCAGGGAATCTAACAGACGCTCAACACTGAAAGGAAAGGCGAGACGGATTTACATTCAGACAGTAACTGGTACTATTGGAAATGGAACTCTTCGCTTGCTACTAAAGATGGGTACGAAGCGCTTATAGGAGTGTCCCGAGTGCTATGATGAACCATGTCACTGCTGCCTTCGTTGGGTTGACCAGTGCACCAGCTTCACCATACAAAGCGCTTATGCGATTGAGCTCTTTTTGTAGTTTTTCAGCAACCTTCTCTTACCCTACGATACACTAACACATCGTCAGCATATGACAGTGTTTCTCCGGGTCCTGTGATTTGCTCGCCTGTGATTCTTACTGTTAAAGAGATCGAGTGAAGCTGGAATGGACTTATCTGGAGTTCAAGAAGCTGAGACATTAATCAATCCAAAGGTACTCTGTTGGACGCATCCTCGAGATCAATTGCTACAGCACACGTTTCAATACCTGAGTTTCAATACACATCATGAGCGAAAACCGTATAACTGGTCCATGTTTCTTTCTTTGGACGGTACCCTCCAAGGGTATTTGGAAGAAGACCTCGCTTCTCAAGCTGGTGTGAAATTTTTCTGGCAATTTTCTTTTCCAACAGCTTGCCTACAGTATTTTGCATAGTGATTATCCGATATCCCAGAATTTTTGTGTGATCTTTGCCAGGTTGTCATCAAGATAGGAACCCTTCAGTGGCATGGGATCTCAACTCATCATCATGTAGCAGGTCCTTTGCAGAGCGTCGCTGTTTCTCACCAGCGCTAACGCCCCATGCGCAATTATACTCAAGGAGTCACTTATATCATGTGCCCATCTTCGTGCTGGTCGGCCCCTGCCCCTTTATCATTGTACCATGCTATCTGCTTTTTTCCCCCCAATCAGCCGTGGTGCTTGATATGGCCAAAATATTTTAGCTTTCGAGACAAGATGCTTTTTATTAGCCAATCTTCCTTGATGTTCAGATCTGTTGGGATGTCAGTTTTTGTGTGTGATTTTTTGCCTGAGATATTCTGAAAATCTTCCTTTAGCTTTTCGGCTCAAAAGCCCATATTCTCTTCCCTAAGCACTGCGAGATAGCCCAGGACTCATCGTTATGATGCTACAGAAAACATGCATGATCTAAAAATTTTGACTGATTTCCCTGCTTGTGCTTAATCATTTCTAGACTTAAGTTTTTTTTTCTTTTCTTCAGAATTTGAGTTTTGCTTTACAGCCCTAACTTATTTGTAAGCATTCGGTTGGCTCCTCGCCTCTCAGGGTAGATGCACTTCGACTTCGAAAGAAAAATACCTCATTAGTCAACTTCTGAGTCGGGCTTCTGTCATATTATTTACTTACTTTTATTTTCGCAGGCGCTAGTGAACGAGTGTTTGCATTTTTTTTTAAGTAACTATAATTGTTGCTCTCCGTGTTTCCTCTTCACACAGCAGTATTATTTTGCAATAGAATTAAAAGATTTGAAGTTTAGTGTTAGTTTCAATTTCTTTTTTTCCCCCTGATGTCACGAAAGCTTCTGTATTCATATTTTAATATCCTTTAGTTCCCCCAGTGTTATCTATATGTGTATGACTCCACGTGTGGTACAATTAAAAGAAAGCACATTACCAATTGCCAGGTTTATTCGCATTATCTCTGTCTTTTTCGAATGGATTTACTTGTTGTGATTTCGCATTAAGTACATTTAATTTATCCTGCATGTAATTCCGTGAGTGAAATAGGAAAGAACCACCACCCCCACCATTTAAGCTGTTTGGTAGGGGTCTATGAATTCCATTCCTTGGTGTTAGAGGTTGCTGTCTTCATGATCCAGTTTATTGCCAGTAGAAATATGAGGGGCGACTAAAAACATCCCAGTCGCACACCTGTTCTTGTGTCAAATGCATCTACAAGATTTTCTTCATGAAAAACTCGACGTGTCATGTCGTTATATGTTGCTTTTACTAAGTTAATAATTATCCGTGGGATTCCGAAGTGCCAGATCAATTTCCACAGAGATTCTCTATCAATGCTGTCAATAACTTTTTTTTTAGTTTATGAATTCAATGTAAAGTAGGGAATTTGGTCTTAAACGGAAATCAAGTAAAGTCATGGGAAATACAGGCAGCCGACGTGATGCTGACAACATCACTCACGGTATGTCAACTGTTCTATAAACTATAGGTTTAGCCTTGTATACCCAACACGCCAGAGGGCGGGGAAGGGGTTCTTGTACTGTTTGTGGCGAATGCACTAGCCATGCCACCCACAACCCACTCCACCCCGTCCCATTTAGATAGCCATGCAATATGTAAATACAGACTGTAAGGACAGTGGACACCAAGTAAACATAAACTGCGTACTACTGTGAACTGTTGACGGACAAGTGCATTAGCCTTCCCCCCCCCTCTCTCTCTCTCTTTCTCTCTCTATATATGTATATATAATATACATATATGCGTGAGTGTGCGTGTGTGTGTGGTATGTGTAAGTTTGTGAGTGTGTGTTTTCGTGAGTGTGTGTGTGAGTGTGTGTGTGAGTGGGCGTGTGAGCATGTGTGTGTGTATCTGTGTGTGTGTGACTGTGTGTGTGTGTGTGTGAGAGAGAGAGAGAGAGAGATTTCTCTCTAGACTTTTAGTCGATAAGATAACATCTTAGGGGTGAGAATCACACCGGTACAAATCCCAGAAACACCGTTCAACAGCGTAGCCATCGAAGAGGTAAAGCAAAGGTCCCTCTACCCACCTATGGCGTATCAAGCTTATGCATCTGGCTTCATATTTTTTAGAGCAGGGGGTGATGGAGTCAAAATCATGCCGACCACCTTTACTTTCCGGGACTTTACCTGAGTGTTAAATATTAAATTACGAATCGACATAGCACTCAGAACACTCCCATAAGAGCTTTGTCCCCATCTTCATCAGCAAGCAAAGAGTTCCAATTTCGATGGCAAAGTAACTGTCTGTATATCCGTCTCGCCTTTCCCTTGCGTATTGAGCGTCGGACAGATACCCTGGTAACTCTCAAGAGCGCCATTCTCCTCAGACCGTAATAATTCGTGTGTACCTCAGCACTGTTCACTCGCTCTCTCACAACATCTAGCTTGTCATGCATCAATTCCCCAACAAGTGATACAGAACTGGCCAGTCTATCTGCCTGCTCGTTTTCCAACACACCAGTTTGACCTGGGAAAATTATCAGAAGGACGCTAACTACCTGGGATCTCTGAAGAAGGACTTAACCTGGTATCCCTTCAAGGCTGGGTCGACCTGGGAGCTCAGATCATGTTTAAAAAAAAAAAACATTTTGGCTCAGGGCTGATTTGAACCCAAGATTTGAGTCCTCAGGCAAGCGTTTTGTCGCTATGCCACGATGACTCCCCGTAAAGCTTTGTAATATAGTACATTTTTTGGGAGCGCCACAAACCGGTTACGTTGTGGAAGTAGCGCATTGCCTGGGTAGGAAGGTCTTGGATTTGAATCCACATCCAGGCAGATTTTTCATGTTATAATTGATTTATCCTCCCAAGTCAACCAAGCCTTAACTGAGTGCCACGAAATTTCATTGCAAGTAAAGGCAGCTGGTTTGATAAAGGCAAAATCTTACATCGAGTACCAGTTGGTCTACAAAAGATACGGCTCTAACACATTTTGTATGATAGACTTATGGCATGGAAAGTAGTAAGAATAATAATAATAATTATGACTGCCCAACTAAACAACGCCTCAGTTCCTTCAGGCCGCAATAATTTTCTAGGGCTAAGGGCCACATGGGGCTGGAGCTTCGTGTTTGTTTAGACAAAAAAATCATTATTGCGCATTTAAATTAGACATGCCCTTTTCTCACCTTTAGAAAATTATTGGGCTGAGCTGAGCTCTCCAATACTTGCTCTGTGGTGGGTCATGTGTTATGTGGCAGGTGATGTGGCCAGCATCACTCCAGTCGCCTTTACTTCCCAAGACATTGCCTGGTACCTATTTTAGGCTAACTTGACCTGGGACAAAAAGTCAAATTTGAAAAACAATATACGTTGAACATCATATGCATGCTGGGCGTATGTGGCGCGAAAGCAATACTCATTTAATACTTACTTTATGTTGAAGTCGCCGTGATGTAGCATCTAGACGCTCGTCTGCGGATCGGGTTGTCGTTAGTTCGGGTTCTGCGGGAGCCGGAATTTTTTTTTCAAAAATGACATTGGCTTCCAGGTCGACCAAACCTCAAATGGGTACCAGGTAAAGTCTTGGGAAGTAAAGGCGACCGGTGTGATGCTGACCAAATCACACACCAAGAACAGATTGGTCTATAAAATATAGGTCTAGCCCCATATGTCCAGTACGGCTCAGGGCGTGGAAAAGGGTCCCTGACTAGATGCAGACCACGGCCAGTTCCAGATGTAAGGTCATACAGCTCAAACGGGAATTACCGTTTTTGTGAGCCTGGCGTGGCCGGTCAGTGGTAACAATTGTTATCTTGTAGATTTATTATATCTGTAGCTGGCCATGATACAGACACATAATGAGCTAATGTTCTATTGTTGCCCAGGTACCAGGACCAGTATTACAGCCGACTGTACTGCCGGATGTATTTTCTTCTAAGCGACTATCTGGACAGCTTTCACGAGCTTCTGACTGAAGCCCAGACACTGCAGATCAATCAAGAGGATATTGGATTTACAAGGTTGATCATTTCTTCTGTCTCCTCTGACTGTTGTCCTAATTCGTTAAGGTCAAACTATTTTTTTCAAACCGCTTCACTGCAGCTATTCACTGGCTTCAGAACCACCTGCACATACATGTGGTGATTGCAAGAATCTCAAAAGCATGTTGATAATAGTAGAGGCAAGTATGCTCCGTCCAGAGCGACAAGCATCACTTCAGAGGTCTCGGATAGTTAACGACTTTTGGATATTTTCTTCGAGAAATGTACGCATTTGAAGAAACGAACAGACAAACAGATTGAAAGATTTCACATCATTAGGTGATAAATTTATGCTTGGCAAGCTAGACGTGGTCTTTGGCAACCAGTGAAAAATGCAAAGGAACAATTAGATCAAGAGTTACCAGGGAATTTGGCCGATACTCAACAGTTACGAGATGAAGCAAGTCGGACAAACAGTTAGACTACTTTTGGCAACATAGGAACTGGAACTATGGGCTGTCTGTTGAAGATAGGTTGGGCTGCGTATAGGAGTGTCTGAAGTGTTGTTATGTAGCTTCTCAACACAACTCAGCTCAAATTAATGATTCAATAAGGTAATCATGTCTTAAAGATTCCCACTGGCACTCTGTTGAAATATGTTGGCAAAGAAAAGCCCGTGTAGGAATCGTTATTGACATATTACTTGTATACTGATCTTGGGATAGAAATGGTCTTGTATTGGAAAGCAAGCAGTTGTTTTTTAGTCGGTATGGAGACGGTGCATGTTATCATCCCCTCGATAAGTTAACCTGATAAACACTTGTAGTTTGGGAAGTGCTATTTCTTTCGGGGTTTGTTTAGTTGGGGTAAAGCGACGTTTAAAGAATCATGCGGGTTATTTATTTAGGAGTAGAGTTGTCTTGGGGGTTTCAGTTGAAGCTGCCAGTGTATCGTCTGTGCAAATCCTTCTGGCAGGTTAAACAAGCTTCTTAGTAGGTCACAATTATACTGAATGGGTACAAAAATGAACCACTTTTCAGATGTGAATGCAAAAACAGTAGTTTCCAAATATCTGTATAAACGGTACAGAATGACTATAGTGGTAAGTGATCATCGTATGCAAACAACATTGTTTTGGATCAGGTTTATAATAATTTCCTCATTAAGGCAAATAGTTAAATATATTTTTTTTTTGAAACCATATAAGGACAAAAAATTATTGGGACATGGAAATAAATGTAACTCAAAGAAACTTAAATATTTTGTGAAGCACCAATGGCAAGCTAAAATGTAAAAAACATAGAAACATTTATAAACTTGTCTGTGTGTCTCCCCTTGATTTTCCTCCATCGAGTTTGCCGACGATGACTGAAATAATGCTGAATAATTGGCGAGGCAGTAGTAGTAGTACTTTTTACCCTACTAGGACATCACACAAAGCGATAAACACCCAATTACACAAAGTGCCACCATGCGAATGAGAATCACACGTGGAGAGGTCCCGGGAACCCCGTTCAGTCACCAGGTAAAATTGCGGCCCATTGCAAGAGCCAGGGTGTGGTTTCAAAACCATGAAAAATTGCATCGCACAAGGGGATGACGATATAATAGATGAAGCAGAAATATCCACGAAGATATTGTCAGTATGCGACCGTCACCTAGTTAGCGGTCCCGAATAACACAACCGCCTGCTCCTCTCTAACTTAAAACACTCCCTTGCTTCTTGCAACTATCCTCTTTTTAGACATAATAAATAGGGGTAAAAACTTTCTCAGTCCATTATGATTCTGAAATTCATCTACTGTCTTACCAGGGTTCGAGATATACCGATGAACTTCCGGCTAGAAGATCTTCTGAATGCTCCGCTGCCTCCAGGCTGGGTCATGCTGGCTCAGAGAATGGACAATGCCGTGTGCAGGAACCAAGCCCGTAAGAAAGCCCTGAATGATGGTCTGACTTGTTGATAGGACAGGACGGCATATGTCTGGACTTCAACAACTGTTGAACCTTTAACCGGAAGCCTGTTAAATCTTCAGGGTTGTTCAGCAGCAAATGTTATGAATGTTTATTAACATGAGACTAAAAATTTATTTATGTCACAGAAACTGTCTTTAAACTAAAATTGGATGTGCAAAACCGTAATAGCTACATTGCGTATACATGTGTACGTTCACATATATATCTCTCATCAACATCCTTTTGTGGTAGATTATGTCACACAGGGCTCGTAGTTTTTTTGTCTATACTGTTCTATCATGTGCAACTGTTTCAATATCGAGGATGAAAATCAATTCAGCCCTACTGGTCTCTCTCATCAACGTGTATATATATATATATATATATATATATATATATATATATATATATATATATATATGTGTGTGTGTGTGTGTGTGTGTGTGTGTGTGTGTGTGTGTGTCTGTGTGAGTGTGCGTGAGTGTGTCTGTATATATTTATATAGGTTTATATATATATATGTGTGTGGGTGTGAGTGTGTCTGTATATATTTATACATGTTTATATATATGTGTGTGTGTGAGTATGTCTGTATATATTTATACATGTTTATATATGTGTATGTGTGTGAGTGTGTCTGTATATATATATATATATATATATATATATATATATATATATATATATATATATATATATATATGCTTTCACGTGTAGTTTCTTTGTAGATAGTTACGTAAAAGTACTTGCATGCACATCAGGATCTTCCTACTGACCCTGACTCCCCCTTTCCCTCCACCTCCGTTTTAATTCCTTTTTTTCCTAATTGTAACATTTTCATGGCGAGGCGACTGTGAACACTTTAAGAGTTAAAGTTTGCTTTCATATACAGATCTTATTACTCGGGGGTGCTAGCAGTGGCACAGAAAAGGGATGAGGGCCTCGGGTCTCATCACTGGGGGAAGGGGCGCAGGTTGGGGGGGGGGGGGTGGAGGGGGTGAGGAAGTGTTTATATTTATATAGGGAAGCGGAGGAGGGTTGATAAGAAATGTTCCACACTGGGTACCACCTAACTCTGCTCTGTCACAAAATGCATAGAGATATTGTTAAATTGTTTACATTTTCTGTATAATAAAAGAACCGTCGCTGGAGCTTGGGAGCTTTTTTTGTGACCCACTTGGCGGGCATCTAGTCCTTTTTTCTTCCACATACACACACTCACACTCTCACACACACACACACACACACACACACACAGAGAGAGAGAGAGAGAGAGAGAGAGAGAGAGAGAGAGAGAGAGAGAGAGAGACTAAGCATTAGGGGGAAAACCTAGGGCAATGAATTTATCATCTGGACTTTAAAAAATACTTAATCAAAAACCTATTTTGTAAGATAAATCCAGTACAGATGGTGAGGTGATTTGTATTCAATAAATTATTGCCACAGTTGAGAAATTAACTGAAGAAGCTTTACACACACACTCACACACACACACACACAACACACACACACACACACACACACGCACGCACGCACGCGCACGCGCACACACACACACACAAAGGGCAGAAAGACACCGTAAAAAGACGTTTAATCTTTTTTTTTTTTTATGGGGGGGGGGAGGAGAAACAAATATGGGCTGTCATTTGAACACTGAATCTTTTACAGGTCTGTTCACGATTCTATGAAAGAATAAACAATATGATGCTCTCTTTGTGAAGTTTGTTTACTGTTTGGTTATTTTTCTGCTAAAAATATTGAGGATAAAAAATAGGCAGTGAGATATATTTAAAAAGGCAGGCGTTTTAAATTATAATCACACACTCGTGCGCACACACATACATACAAATAAATAGTGCCTTGGTCTTAAGCGTTTCGAACGTGCTTCGTAATTCTGAAATACCCAGTTATATCCATGCGGTGGTGTCTAAACAGCAGACTTTTGTGTTTGTTGATTTCGACAGTGGCATGGAGCTTTGACCGTTAAGTAGCAGTGACGAACTAGTCAACGTGTGGCCAAAATATGCTGGAGGATATTTTGCAGCGTCCTGCAAAGGATACATGACTAACCGTTGCAATGACGAGCGCAAGTGTTGAGTCGATTGTAGGTAGGAGGGGGGGGGGGCGCTAGTGCGTGCTTATATGGATCGGCGAGCATGTGTGTGTGTGTGTGCGCGCGTGTGTGTGTGTATTTGTAAATTTAGTTGCGTTACTTTTACAAAACTTTGCAAAACATACCGCATCAGTGTCAAGAAGTAGCAATATTAATTAACAACTAAGTTAAAGGTTTCCAAAGCAACAACAAACCAGTAGACAGAGATGGGTTCTATCACCCGGTTTATTCATTTTTCTATACAGTGAAGTAATAATTAGATTCATACATGGTATGTCACGAATATTGTTTGGTGGGCATATTGTTATCAACCTGCGATATGCTGATGATATAGTTTTGATTGCTGAAAATGAGACACAACTGCAAGAAATGATGTACACAGATGTAGCAGAAAGACAAAACAGGTGTCCTAATTTGAACAGTAGAAAAACAAAAGTAACACTAATTACATTGGAAATGGGCTCTTCGAAAAGCAATATCAAAGTAAATGGGACAAACCTCAAGCAAGTTAATATGTTTAAGTACTTGGGTACCCTGACAACATCTTATGGAACATGTATTAATTAAGTTAAATGTAGAATAGTTCAAGCAAAGGCAGCATTTTACAGAATGAAGAATATTTTGTCCTACGTTTTTAATCGAAAAGAGAAAGAAAATCCGTAAAAGCTATATAAATCATATTTTGATATACGGAAGTGAATCATTGACAGTTGATAGATTATTACAATAATATCTGGAAGCTGTGGAAATGTGGTTTTATACACGAATGATGAGAATACCCTGGACATATTTAAAAAAAAAACAGACGAAAAAGTTTAAAAAAAAAAAAAAACAAACACCACACCTTGAATAGAACTGACCGCTCATGTCAGAGACAAACTACATTCGTTGGTCATGTTATAAGAAACAGAAAACTGAAGTACATCTGACAGTAGGAAAAGAGAAGTCGAGAAGAGGCCAAGGAAGACCGAGGAAAAAAAATACTGGTCAGTTTGACATCATTGCATGGGGGATCATCTATGTCAGAGTTGATTAAAAGTACACGAGACAGAAAGTTGTAGATGGACATGACTACAAACGCCATACGGCATGGACGAAGAAGACACTTATGGCGTCTATATTTCTCTAAGGTACACTGGATTTTCTTTTTTTTTTTTTTCGTTTTTACCGATCTGTTGTTAAACACAAACGGCTTTCACCTTGTTATGGTTTAGCACACACACGCGCACACGCACGCGCACACGCGCTCACGCACACGTACACTTGCACGCGCAATCACACACACACACGCACGCACGCACGCTCGCACGCACACACACACACACTCACACACACACACACATATATATATATATAAACTACAATTGATATTTAGTCTAATTAGATTATAAAGTTACATCTATCTTTGGTGATACCATGAAAATTACCATGTCTTTCACTTAAAGGTGAACAAAAAAATGAAAAAAAAAAAGTGATAAATTAATAGTATCTGTTCGTTGAGACTTCCAATGTGAGGTGAATAAGAAAAGCCAGCAACTGATAAGTTACAATTTTTTCCCCTTTAAAGCCAGTTTTACTGATGCCTTCTCGTATCCTGTTTCTATATTTTTGTCGAACATTTTAGACTTGAAAAAAAAAAAAACTCCGGTTAGGGCTTCAACCTGAATATTTGATATATATAGTACACCGTAAAGGAGCTCCCAGGTCGACCCAGAATTGAGTGGGTACCGGGTGCAGTTCCGGGAAGTAAAAGCTGCCGGCTTGATGCTGACCACATGCCCCATCTTGTGCCGATTGGTCTGTAAAATATAGGTCTAGCCCTATATGCCCTATACGCCTAAAGGCATTTGAAAGGGCCCTTTACATTTATTTTAACTCTTTAGTACACTAAAGGCCGTTAATGAACCACATGAAACAGCGAAAATTGCAGTTATGAATTAACCTGATTCCTGTACGAATGAAGGCATTTCCTTTCGCACTTTTAATAATGCTCTAATGTACTCTAATGCAATGTTCCACATTTAAAAAATGTATGACTACATTTAACTGAACATTTATTGGGGCTGGTGAATTGTTGATATCCATCTCACTTAGGCATCAATATGCAGCGTTTAAAAGGCTACCCCAGTCACATCAAACGAATCATCCTGACAGGATTGTGCGGAATCTCTATGTCTGGATAATCCTCCTGTGATAATTCATAGTCGTTGAACTTAGTTATGGGGAGCACAAATCCTTTGCACTTATGATCCCTGTGGAAGAGACGGTTTCGAACACGACCGCACACACAGAGCAAAGTCTCCGTTTTATTTAATTGTGAGACACACACACATTGCACAATGACAAAGATGACTACATTCGAATACGAATATCATGCTCACAGTATAATATACTTTCTGAGCTCTGCAAAGAATTTGTATATCAATTTTCAAGTCTAAACTTTTTGAATAATCATCCTATTCTCCGTGAAGATTTGTCCCTTCGTAAATGTATGAAATTTTAGAATCTTGTACCATCTACTTTATATTTCTTGTGAAAATCCACCCACTCTAACATCTAACAGTATATACTTATTTGCTCGAATACTTGCCATCTACCACAGAAGTACAATCTGTTGCAAAGGTTTATTAAAAAACGCCTTATAAAGATATATGAAACTATTACATTAACACATAGCCGTTTTTAATGTGTGCCGCATGTGCAGTCAATTATATTACAAAAACTTTAGAATCGTTATTTGTTTACAGGTTACCGACAATTAGTTGTAGAATTAATTACTCCAGTTTTTAAATTTTATTGAAGCAGATAATAAAGAGCATATTCTAACTCACGCTTTGCTACCAGTGCCAGACTACGACATCATCAAAGTCTAACCTGCAAAAAATTAACACCTGT